AAATGAAAACATATCACATCAGGAATTCATAGTATGAGAAAAAAAGAAAGTCCTTATAAATCAATCACTTCAGCTTCTACCTTAACAGACAAAAAGCTGGTTGCAGTGGCTTATGTCTGTAATTCTAGCTATTTGGCAAGGTGGAGATTGGGAGGAGGAAGGTTACAGGTGAGATCCCATCTCAACAAGTAAAAGCTGGGTGAAGTGGCACACTAGCTATGCTGGAAACATAAGTAGACCCTACTTAAAAGATACCTATAGCAAAAGGGCAGGGGGTGTGGCTCTAGTGGTAGAATGCCTACCTGGCAAGCACAAGGCCCTTAGTTTAAACCATAGTACTGCCTGCCCCCCTGAAAAAAAAGAGAAAGAAATAATAAAGCTCAGAGTAGAATTCAGTAACAGAAAACAAAAAAGGTAGAGAAAACAAAAACTGGCACTTTGCAAAGTTCAACAAAATAGATTTTCAGTTAGATTAAACAGGGAAATAAGGGAAAGCAATAAATTACTGCTATGAGAAATGAGAGTGATGACATTACTCAATTCTATAGATAATAAAAGTATAATAAAAGACCATGATTAACAAGTTCATGCCAATACACTGGATAACTTAGATGAATGGATAATTTCCTTGTAAGACTTAAACTGCCAAAGATTTATCAGTCTCTCTGTCTCTCTCTGAAGGATCTCTTAAGATGGATAGCTTCTACAGACCCAAATTTCTGATGAACAGATATACAAAAATTCTCATCAAAATATTAAAATACTGAATTCAATAGCACAGAAAAAGACTTCATCATGATCAAGTGGGATGTAGCACAGGGATATAAGAATGCTTCAATATACACAAATAAGTAAGCATAATACATTGTATCAACACAAATGAAGTACAAAAATCATGCCATCTCAATTCATACAGAAAAAACATTCAGTGAAATTTAATATCACTTCACTGTAAAGCCCTAAAAATTAGGTACAGAAGGAACATACATCAACATAATAATGAATATATATGTATTTTTTAACCATACCATTTTTTACCCATCTAGCAAATAAAAACATTTAAAAGAGCAATTGAACCTGCTTCTTGGCAGGGATGTAGGGAAGGAGATGCTCTGAAAAACTGTTAGTGGAGATAAGAAACATAACAGCCCTTTTCTTTTTTAATTCATATGTGCATACAGTGTTTGGGTCATTTCTCCCCCCTCCCACCCCCTCTCTTCCCCCACCCCCTCAATATCCGGCAGAAACTATTTTGCCCTTATCTCTAATTTTGTTGAAGAGAGAGTATAAGCAATAATAGGAAGGAACAGGGTTTTTGCTAGTTGAGATAAGGATAGCTATACAGGGAGTTGACTCACATTGATTTCCTGTGCATGTGTGTTACCTTCTAGGTTAATTCTTCTTGATCTAACTTTTTCTCTAGTTCCTGGTCCCCTTCTCCTATTGGTCTCAGTTGCTTTTAAGGTATCTGCTTTAGTTTCTCTGCGTTAAGGGCAACAAATGCCATCTAGTTTTTTAGGTGTCTTACCTATCCTATCTCCCTTGTGTGCTCTCGCTTTTATCTTGTGATCAAAGTCCAATCACCTTGTTGTGTTTGCCCTTGATCTAATGTCCGCATATGAGGGAGAACATACAATTTTTGGTCTTTTGGGCCAGGCTAACCTCACTCAGAATGATGTTCTCCAATTCCATCCATTTACCTGAGAATGATAACATTTCGTTCTTCTTCATGGCTACATAAAATTCTATTGTGTATAGATACCACATTTTCTTAATCCATTCGTCAGTAGTGGGGCATCTTGGCTGTTTCCTTAACTTGGCTATTGAGAATAGTGCTGCAATAAACATGGGTGTGCAGGTGCCTCTGTAGTAACCTGTGTTACAGTCTTTTGGGTATATCCCCAAGAATCGTATTGCTGGATCATATGGTAGATCAATGTCTAGCTTTTTAAGTAGCCTCCAAATTTTTTTCCAGAGTGGTTGTACTAGTTTACATTCCCACCAAAAGTGTAAGAAGGTTCCTTTTTTCCCGCATCCTCGCCAACACCTGTTGTTCGTGGTGTTGCTAATGATGGCTATTCTAACAGGGGTGAGGTGGAATCTTAGTGTGGTTTTAATTTGCATTTCCTTTATTGCTAGAGATGGTGAGCATTTTTTCATGTGTTTTTTGGCCATTTGAATTTCTTCTTTTGAGAAAGTTCTGTTTATTTCACTTGCCCATTTCTTTATTGGTTCATTAGTTTTGGGAGAATTTAGTTTTTTAAGTTCCGTGTATATTCTGCTTATCGGTCCTTTGTCTGATGTGTAGCTAGCAAATATTTTCTCCCACTCTGTGGGTGGTCTTACAAGATTACATTTTTGATGCTAGATTGAATCACTACAAATATTAAGTAAGAATTACTGAGAGTGCTAGTAGAGTGGCTCAAGTGATAGAGCCTAGTGAGACCTAGGTCTGAGTTCAAACCTCAGTAACAAAAATAAAAATTTCTGAGAAAAATCCTTTCTTTTGAAATGAGAAGATAAATAATGTCTTGCAAATATCTTCACACACACACACACACACGTAACGTACTTTGATCTTCTTCATTCTCTAGTACCCTCTCCTTCCTGCCACTGATCCCCCAGTCTCCCTTTTACACTCATTATTATCATTATTATTGCCATCATCATAATCATTATCATCACTATTATCATTTTAGGTCTAGATTCCACATAAAAGTGAAAACATGCAATATTTGCCTTTTTGGGCTTGGCTTATTTCACTCAACATGATGTTTCACAGTTCAATCCATTTATTATGGCTGAGTAATACTCCACTCTGGATATATACCACATTTTCTTTATCCATTCACAGAGTGTTGGGCACTTAGGCTGATTCTACAGCTTGGCTACTGTGAACAGAGCTGTGATAAACATGGGTGTGTGAATGTTTCTTTTGTATATTGATTTATACTTCTCTGGATATATGCTCAAGAGTGCTATTTGCTGTGGTTTTAATATGCATTTTTAAAAATTCAAAATAATTTTTTAAAGATCTTTTTATGTACTTATTAATCAAGTGAATTTCTTTTTATGTTCCAGTCATTTTAAAATTAAGTTTTTTAAAAATTGATTTGTAGGAGTTATTATAATCAAACAACAAATCTGTTGACAGTTACATGCTTTGTGAACTTTTTTTTTTTTTTAAAGACAGAGTCTTACTATGTAGCCCAGGCTGGCCTTGAACTTGTGATTCTCTTGTCTTTGCCTCTCAAATGCTGGAATTACCAGAATGAGTTATACTCACCCTGTTTTTCCTCTCTTTTGTACATATATTTTTTGATGAACAGTTAATTTTAATGTAGTCAGATTTATCAATATTAGGCTGGGTGTGGTAGCACGCACCTGTAATGTTAGGTACGCATGGAGTGGAGATGAGGAGGATTGTGGTTTGAGACCGGTCCAAGCAAAAAGTTAGTGAGATCCTATTTTAACCAATGTGGTGGTGTGTACCTGTTATCCCAGCTACATGGAAGTGTAAATAGGAGAATCCCAGTACAACCTGGCCTGGGCAACCCTATTCAAAAAATAACCAAAGCAAAAAAGGGTTGGAGGACATGGGTCAAATGATAGTGTCTGCATAGCAAGTGCAAGGCCCTGAGTTCAAACCGTAGTATCATCAAAAAAAATTATCAATCTTTTAAGACTGGCAGTACTGGTAACTTATTTAACAAATCTCTCCTTACCTCAGTCACAGGGATAGCTCTTCTATTGTATTTGAAACATTTTAGGCTTTAAGGTCAGCTTTTATGGTTCTTTATGTTTAAAGCTTTATTTCATGTGGAATTAATTTTGTGTGTGGTGTACACATTTATTGTGTCAATGGTATATTATGTGTATGTAGTCACTACTGAATTGCTCATTTTGCCTTTGCCCTAAAATGCTATTTATCCATAGATCACATTTCTAAATATGTGTGTATCTGTTTTAGGGTTCTGAATTCTGTTTTATTGATAATTATGAATATGACTGTGTCAGTTCCACACAGTCTTAATCACTATAATCTTAAACTAATTTTTTTTGATAGCTGGCAAGACAATTTCCATACTTTGTTTTTTTCTTTTGGACTGTGTTGGTAATTATAAAGATTTTTGCTCTTCTGCTTAGGATTCTGACAGAAACTGCATTACTTCTATAGATTACTTCAAGAAGAAGTGACATCTTTATTATATGAAGTCTCTCAATTCATGAAGATGGTATATTTTCTTATTTATTTAGGGCTTCTTTCATCCATAATTTTTATTGCTTCTATATCCTGGAATTCTTGCTTGTGATATGACAGTGTTCAACATGTACTTGCTTACTTTCTCTTAAGTCCGATAGATGTTTTATGAATTCTCAGTATCACGTTTTCCCCCTTGAAAAAGTATTTTTGTACTAACTATAGAGAATAAGACGCTGATATCATAGAACATCAAAAAGAAAGCCATATTATTTGCTCCTTCTAGTTTCAGTCTCTATTATTTTGTGGGAAGATTATTTCTGTAAAATCATATGGCTATTTTGAAGGTCACTAGAAATTTTTTTCTTTTGTGCTTTACAAATACAAAGTGCTTAGTAAATCATTCATTCATTAACCATTGTTCATCATTAATGGCTCTCTGCCTTAATAGTATAACTAAAACAGTGACTGAAAAGTACTGATGTGATACTGAAAAGCTATGATGTGATATATAACTCAATTCTTTAAAGATGACTTTTCATTTTTGAAGAGCTTGCTTATATTACAAAATTACTAAAATAATCTAGTATTTTTCAAGAGAAAGCAAAGAATCAAAAACTCTTAATACTTATGTCAAATATGGAATAAGTGTTTTTGACAGAAATGGTATGGGTATTGACTCTTCATCTTATCAGCTGTGGTGGCCTCAAGAATTTGGTATACCAGTAATTACTAGATCTTTTGGAAAATTAAAAGTATTCTCAAATAAGAGGAATAATCTGAAAGGACTCAAAATTACCTGTAGAGTACAATTCATCATCCTTATTATGTAGTCAAACTGTTGATGGTCCAATATTGCCCGGTTTTGCTGGACATGCAAACCCAGTTCATCAGTGAGACACTGTCTTGCTGCCTTTCCTTTTAGGGCCCTCAAAGCAGCAGGAAGGGTCTGAGAACAAGAGAGTTACAAGTGATCACAGGTACTACTGGAAAAAGAAAAACCTTCCATCTCTCTGAAAATTCAAATGCCTCCTGTCATTAAGCACTCAGTGAAGAGGTGACTTGCTATTAGGACTAACAATAAGACAGGCAGATTTGTAGTTATTTTTTATTTGTAAGCCAACAAGGAAAATAAAAATTAGCTTATGTGGTAAATTGAAAAAAATACTAAATCTGCCTTTTTTCTTAGACCTAACTGAACTTTATTTGCCAAACTGACTATTGCTTCAGATCACAACTCAAAGCCACAGACACTTTAGACCTACCTTCTTTGTATAACTGGCCAAGTTTCCATGCCAAGAATAGAAGGAAAAATTACAATGACTGAAAACACAAGAGACACAAGTCTCTAAGAAAAGGCTACATTATGTTCCGTATGCTTCATTAAGACAAGAAAATTCAAGGAGGCACATTTAAGTTGAATACCAATTTTTGTAATTCATTGCACAATCTAACTAGATTATTTGCAATAAATAAAATTATATTTTAAATAAAGTTTATAAGTAATATGCCAAAATAAAGTTTAAAGAACAATGTCTAAAAGCTTGAGGAAAAGGACTGTAGGCTTAGCCTAAGTGTCACCAGTGCCTACTTTGCAAGCATGAAACCCTGAGTTCAAACCCACAGTCACACCAAGAAAAAGAAAAATTTAAGGGAAAAAATAACTACCAATATTTTTCTCATAGCCATGTAGCTAGGTTTGGACCACAGTTTTAAATCATATTGTTCATTTAAAATGACTCAAATAATGAAGGGACATTTATTAGGGAAAAGAAAAGAATTAGAGGATGGGCCAGATGGCAACCTAAACATGTAATTCTGAAAGGGAAATCCTAAATGCTTGAGAAAAATGGCATTTTATTACCTTTTCAGTCTCCAAAGTTTTATTTTCAAATATGAACGAAATGCAGTTTCTAACAACTTCCAATCTCTGTGCACTGTTGAAAACTGTTGTCACCTTATCCATTATTGAAACTAACAAAGGAATATAAAGCAAATATAAACAAATTAAGCTTTTTTGACAATTACAAAAACAAGGGAATATGGCTTTCATTCTATTAACATGACCAACATTTAGTATTTATCTTTTCCCTTGTTACATGGCACTAAAAGTATTCTATTTCATTATTTTGATTATTGTTTTGGGTTCTGAAGTGTATGGCTAATCAATGGATATGTCACAGGACAGATTCTAATGATACAACTAACTCTTATGCAAATATATTCATACTGCAAAGGAACATTTTAGTAAGCAAAGGTAGGCATCTATTTTAGATTTTAATTGTAAACAAAATGATATGACAGGAAAGGTCTATGATACAGGACCACAACAAAAATAGCTAATGTTCATACACAAGGCGATAAGCAACAGAAAAAATGCTGACACTTCTAAGATATCACTAAGGAAAAACTACACGGAGAAAAAAAATCAGATACTACTAATCTGAACAGAGGGACCTGAAGGGAAGACACAGTATTAAAACAAAAAGAGAAACGATGGCAGCCAACGGATTGCTGTAATGGCTTAGCAAAGTTACTTCTTAGTGCTTTTTGTTCTTATGAACTTAGCACATTTCACCTGGACACACAGGGTTGGAAAATTCTAGTCTATCATAGAGCTAAAGTTACCTAGATAAATTTAACTGATTAAAAGAATACTAGAAGAATATAAATGAAAGTAGTATTTGTAAAGAAAAGAAAAGCACATTATCACAAAGAACTATAATAATGTTATATCATTTATACAAATGAAGTGTTATCCATCATTCTTAAGCCCAAAAGAAAGACGGCTTGTATTTTATGGCTATTCTTTTGACTCTGAAGGCACAATCCCTCACTTCCTTACATACCTAAAAAGAAAGACAATTTGACTCATTAGCATCTCTTCATCTCATCAATACAAACTTTATGTTCTTCGAATAATGTTTTAAGTTTTTTAATCTTCAAATAATCACAGGCTGATAGAAAGTTGCAAAAATAGTATAAAGAGACTCTATGTACTCTGTTGAGCTTCCCCCCAGGGTGACATCTTACAAACTACAGTGCGTCAGCAGGATCTAGAAACCTGGTGGCATGATACAATGCACTAGACTACAGCCTTTACAGGGATTTTAATTTCTTTCTTCAAATCATTGAAAGTCATGTAACATTGTCTGCATAATCATGATAGTTAATTTTCTATCTGAAACTCTCATTCTTAATTGTGGGCTCTGATGCTTCTAACACAGTGGTACAGACTGAAATAGAAATATGTTCAAACTACAGTAGGAAGCTTCTTGTTGTCTCCAAATAATAACATATACTTTATTGAAAGAGCAACATCATTATGTTGATAAACTTTCAATTCTGAAATCTCTTTAGCACTATTTTAAATTTTCTTTAGCTTGAACTACTAGAATGCATATTTTTATGAGTATGTTTACCACCAGGGAATTAATATTTTCCTTTGGAAAATACAGTTCAGTTTACATTTCATAACAACAAAGAGATCAGTCACTAGGATGTTATAACACTTATAAATATATATATCTAATAAATTAACTTCAGGATGCATGAAGAAAACCACAGTTAGAACTAAGATGGGAAATAGACAAAACTATTACTGTAATGGGAGACTTTAACATAGCCCTTCAATTTCTAGAAAAAACAGAAAAGAAATAAAAATCAGTACAGAAAGATAATGCACAAATGAGAGAAAACATTTGCAAATTGTTTACTGGAAAGGGAACTGTATAAAGAATATACAGAATGTTAATAGTACAGTAATGAAAATATAACAGCTCAATTTAAAATTAAGCAAACAGATATTCCTTAAATAAGATCTATAATGTCCAAGGAGCATATAAAAATATGCTCAGCATTCTTAATGGCTATGGAGATATTTGCAGAAGTGTAAAAATGGTGCACGTGCTTTGGCAAACAGTTTGGCAGTTCTTCTATACACTAAACATAAATTACTGTATGACTTTACATACTCCTAGGTATACCCAAGAGAACTGAAAACATTATCTCCACACAAAAATTTGCACATGAATGTTCATAGCATTATTCATAAATCAAAAAGTAGAACTAACTCAAATATTCATTATTTGATGAATAGATAACAAAATGTGATCTATTATAACTATGGAATATTATTCAGTCACAAAAAAGCAACAATATCCTGATACATGCTACATTTAAAAAAAAAAAACCTTAAAAATATTATGCTACATGAAAGAAGCAAGTTACAAAAGCTCAAACAGTGTATATTTCTACTTATATAAAATATTCAGAATAGGCAAATCTATGAAGACAGAAAGTAGACTGCTAACTAATCTGGAAAGGAGGTGGTTTGGGGGAAGAAATGGAAAACCAGTTATAAGGTATAGGATTTCATATGGGTTATGAAAAGTTCACAAACTAAATAGTGATAATGGCTGAATAACTCTCTGGAAATACTAAGAACCACTGAATTGTACACTTTCGGAGAACTTATGGTATGTGAACTGTATCTCAATGATTTAAAAAAAATTTATAGTGGTAGAAGTTAGATAGCAGCTACCCTTGGTGAGAAGAGGTGAGCGGGGCAGTTTCTGAGTGCTGACAATGTTCTGATTCTAGTTACATGAATCTGTTCATTTTGTAACATTCACAAAATTGTACAGTTTTGTTTATTGTGTCCTATATCTTGAAAAAAGGTTTACTTTAAAAACAGATGGACAGACAAATACATACCAACAGGAGGACCTGCTGGCACAACACACTTCTTTTCCATTCGGGTAGCAGGAGGTGCATTCTGGTTCTTAGTAAGATTTTCCTGTATTAATTCCTGAACTCGGACTTCATTAATCTTTGGGAAAGGAAGAATATGAACTCGCAAGTGGGATCCTTCTGTCGGACGTGGAACTTTTTGAAATGCCATATGGGGGTTTGGATTCTCCTGTAATATCAGACATAGGTAAAATTTTTAAAAATTTAAAATAACAATGGCAGATAGGAAGGGCAAAAAGGACCTCAGGAACACACAGTGAAATCAGACAGTTGTGATTATACAGACATTCATATACATCAGAAAACAGAAAACCAGAACTTATTTCTTCCAAGATTTATCAGCAGCACCTGAGACAGTTAGTCACTTGTCTTCCTGTTCCATTAACACTTACTTCCCTTGGTCTTCGTGTCTTTTTGCTAGCTCTATGTCTATTTCTCAATTACGTGAAGACCTCCAAGCTCAGTCCTTCAGTCTCTTTTTTATTAACACTTATCTCCTTGGAATTGCCTCCAATTTCCTATCTATTAGCCATAAAAACACCAATGACTCAGATTTTCAGCTGGAGAACTGAGCTTTCTTCTGAACTCTACATCCATGTGTTCAACTGTCTACACAAGTATTTCCACTTGGATTTAAAATAATATCTTCAACATACGTCTGAAATGGAGCTCTTAATCTTTACCATCTTGAAACCTGTTTTCTTCAGTTTTTTCCACTCCAGTAAATGGCACTGTTTATTTTTTTTACAACTGCTCAATTGAAAAACTGGGTTTTTTTTTGTTGTTGGTAGACGCCACTGAAGATTGAACCCAGGGTCTCATGCTTGCTAGGCAAGTGCTTTACCACTTTAGCTATGCTCCCAGACTTTTTGTTTGTATTTTTTTTGTTTTTGAGATAGGGTCTCACTAACTTTGCCCTAGCTGTTCTAGGACTTGTGATCCTCCTGAGTAGCTGGCATTTCAGGCATGCATCATCATACCCAGCTAACTTTAAGTCATCTTTAATTCTTTTTCACTAACGCCCAATTATTCATTCCTTAGCAAACCTTAGGGACTTTACCTTTAGAATATGTTAATAGCCTGACCACTTTTCATGACATCTTGGTTCAGGTCACACTTCCCGTAACAGTATAATAGTCTCCTATCTGGTCTCCCAGCTTCTACCCTCAACAGTGTGACAGATCATCACATAACTACCCTGTTCATTCAAATGGCTCTTCATCTCAATCAAATCTTTACAAGGCCCTGCAAGAGCTGGCCTTCTACACAACTCTGTCCCATTACTGTTTCCTTAACTCATTCTTCTTCCTGAACTTCTGTTCCGCTGCCTAGAATGCCTGACCCATCAAACTTGACTTTCTTTGCTGAAATGTCATCTTTTCTGGTCATCCTACCTAAAATTACACTATCCAACCTCCCACCCCTCCCACACTCCTTATCCTCACTTTTCTCTTTAGTACTTATCACCCTCTCACATACCATGAATTTTATTTAGCTTATTTCTTGTCTTTTTTTCACTAAAATGAAGCTTATGAAGGCAGATGTTTAATTCAATTAGACATTTTTTTTGTGTGTGTGTCCTCTGTTACACAGTTGTACCTAGAAACTGTCTGGCATATAGCAGGCACTCTAAAGTACTTCCTACTGCATCTTAAGTGGGACACAATGTAGAACACATATCAAAATTGCAGTAATTGGTGTCAGCTAATTTATTTTTTGATGCTGGGTACTTCCTCCTTCAGCCCCTATTAGGCAATGTTTTCAAATATCTGACACCTACTAGGTAGGATTGTATTTCAAATATTATAGGCAGAGTGGAATTCATATATCCCATAAAGTTCTCCAGGGAAGACTGCTTTATAACCATTTTTAGATCAACTCTAGCATTTGTTATCCTCTTGCAACAAGGAAATTCTTTATTCCCACTGAACTATGTTATTCATGATATAGATTAAACTCAAGACTACCCCATACATCCTCCTGACAGTTGAAAACTGTCATAATCTATTATAACTGCTCCCCACAGTTCTTCTTGGTTATATGGCTTAGACCCAGAAAAAAGGAAAGAGTGGGGTAAGGCAGATGATGTAGTTAGCATATCTGAGCAATATTAAGTGTTAAAAAAAAAAGCCTAGGCTTTAGCTCTTTCTCTACTCACTATGTGATTTTGGACAAATAATTTTACTGAAGATACATACTCAGGCTTACCTTACAAGGTTCCTCAGAAGGTAAAATATGTTGAAAATGGTCTAAAATTCTGCCTGATATTAACCAAACATCACTGGTTAATATCACTGGTTAATAACATCATCTCCAATTGTTCTTTTTAAAAAAAGTATTATGTTTGTTTTTCTCTGTTCTTTTGGTATGATTTCTATGCATATATTATATCCTCAAAAATTTTAAATAGCTCTTGATCATGCTTCCTGTTTCAATATCATTTCTCTAAAACATATTGGACAGATTTTTTTTTAGGCCAGGGGATAATTCATATGGATCTTGAGGCTTAAATCATTTAAATATATTCTTTAATACTTCTGTTTTCTATTTCTATTTTTTCTAATAAAAACACAAAATATATTTCCCATGAAGCAAATAATATTCATTATAACAAATTTTAAAACATGAAAGAAAGAAGTAGAAATTTTGTTAAGGACGTCAGCATCTTTTTGGGTTGCATTTTATTTATGTCTTACAATTTCTCCTATGTCTTATTACAAAAATGATTCAAGGTCCTTTAGAAAAACAAGGATGCATGTATCAATTCAAGTTAGAATATCCAAAGAATTGGCTTATAATGTGGTAAGTTTATCCTGAGGTTTTTTTTTTTTTTTGGTACTGGGGCTTGCTCTCAGGGCTTACACCTTGAGCCATGCCACCAGCTCTTTTTTGTGAAGGGTTTTTTGAGATATGGTCTTGCAAACTATTATGCCCATGCTGTCTTTGAACTGTGATCCTCCTGATCTCTGCCTCCTGAGTAGCTAGGATTACAGGCGTGAGCCATCAGCACCTGGCTATCGCAAGTTTTATAGGAAAGAACAAAGTTGCATAAATAGTCAAGGAAACTCAGAAGAAGAATGTTACGGTTTGAATCTTAAGTGTCCTCCAAGCTAAAGGCCTGATCACCAGCAAGAAGCACTACTGGAAGGTGGTGGAACCTTTATGAGGCAGGGCGTAGTGGAAGCAAGTTGGTTCATTGGGTACATGCCTTTGAAAGGGATACTGAGATCCTGGCTCCTTCTCTTCTCTCTGTTACCTGGCTGCCATGAGGTAAGAATCCTTCTCCACATGCACTCCAACCATGATATACTATGCTGCTCACAGGTCAAAAGCAATAGAGTCAAGTGACTATAGACTGAAACCTCAGAACTCATGAGTTAAAATAAATTTTTCCTCTTTATAAGTTGATTAACTCAGGACAAACACAAAGAATAAGTTAATAGAGTATGACAATTGGTGTTAGTGAAGGGTCAAAAGGACAATGAAATGGTGAGCCCAGAAACAGGATTAATGGAAACCGTGATAGCACCAGAGAAAAGGTTAGATAATTCAGTGAGAGAGGTAATATGTGATCTGGTACAATAACAATTCACACATCCCTTTGTGCTTTAATTTCCTCATTGTACTGAAGATAATAACACAGTACCTTACTTCACAAGGTTCTTGTGAGGATTGATGCAAACTGTTTAGAAAAGCATGAATATATACACACTAGAGACATTCCTCCCCAGAATAAATCTAAAAGCTGTTTTCCAAAAGTCCAGGCTATATTATTTGAAAAAATATTTATTCATTACTTGTTCTTTGATAGAACACCATGCTTCTAAAACGAAAAACATTACTTTTTCCACAGGTTCTCATCACATTATTAGCTACTTGTATTTTTAATAGTAGTCCTAGTAATAGAAGTAATAGTACCTAGTGAGGGTTTAAGTATAAATCACTTATTAACAAAAATATGTTGCTACTATTAGTAGTATTCCCATAAACAATTAGAACTATTGTAAACCAAACCCATACACAATTCAGAATAACATGCATTTAAAAATTATGTTAAAACAAAGTTCAAAGTTGAGGCTATCTGTAGCTATATAGAAATCCTACACTAAAATGCAGATCATGGGTTAAATGTACTGAATTATGATATACTGTGTTTAGAAGATATAGAAAAGACTCATGTCCCCAAATCTAGTATTTGATTTCTGGCTGCTGTGTCTGTGCACTACTGCCCTCTAACGGGCAACATGATAAATGTAAAGGACATCGGCCACAGAGCATAACATGGCTCCTTAATGACTTCTGAGAACAGAGTGGCAATGAGAGTTAGAGTTCCTTGCACTCTACACAATCTTAGAAACCTTTCCTTATTTGTACCTTCAAAAGAATTTGAACTGATTCCTTGAAGGTTACTGAGATCATTAAAAACTACAGCCCGATTTTGTTGCTGAAACAAGGAAATTTATTCTTTTCAAACAGTGCAATTAAGCATGCAAATTTTTGTCTTTGATTCCAAAGAAATGCAAATACAAAGTAATAACCAAAGAGATAACTAAATACTTTAGTGAACAAGGCAACAATTTTTCCAAGTCCACCAAAATGAACTTCCCAAGAAAACCTGACACTATCCTTAAGAGAGAATTTTGAATTTGAAAAATGATTTTCAAGAGCTGGTCATTGTATTCCCAATTTTAGAGTATATTATATTAATAGAAGAGTCAATGATTTTTTTTCTCAGAAAAAATGATACACACACCATTTGGTATGGAAACAGATATTTGGTATTTTTCTCCTTTGGCAGGCTAAATGAGAATATGCTTATGGTTTATAGAAAATGGCCAAGAGTACACTTCAAATAAAAGCAGAGCACAACAAAAGACTCCAAGCCTCACTGGAAATGCACAGTAGGCAACAGCCACATTGGGAAAAATTTTTTTCCTACACATTGGTCTTAGTAATGAATGACAAATCAACATAATTTTGCTAGAGAATACTGAGTTTACCAGACTAATTCAGATATTTAAAATTGTTTAATATGTACCAATTACACCTAGAGTTATGTGGGATAACGAAAATTCCTTCAAATACAGTTTAAGACAATGCTATCATTGGAGTAAATCACTAAACACTGTCAAAACACAGCTAGACTCAATTTTGAGTTGCCTGGTGATATATATGATGTTGATGGAATGAAACAACCTCAATTTTCCAGCTTCACTGTCCTTTCAATGATCACCTACATACATTAACATCTCATCCTTAATACTAATATATTTGGTGGATGAGTCTTTCATATCTAATGTGCTAATGAATTAATCCTGGGACTGCTTCTTAACCTCAGCACTACTAGCATTTTGGGCTTGGTAATTCTTTGTTTGGGGTAGGGCTGGGATATCCTATGCAATGCAAAATGTTTAGAAACATCCCTGGCCTCTATTCACTAGATGACCGTAGCACATCTTCTTCAGTTATGACAACCAAACATGTCTCCAGATAATGGCAAATTTCTGGGGGTGAGTGGAGAATCTGCTGAGAACCAATACTGTAATTCATGACCCCCTACTCTAATACAAGTACTTTCATCCCAAGTATCAAGGCAGCATATAGTAACTAAGAGACCTTCACTGTCATTTACCTACTGACATGCAAATTAAAGGCACAAGAAGCTACAATCACCACACTTATTAGACTGATTACAACAAAAACAAAGCAACAAAAAATAACAACTGACAATACCAAGTGTGAGTGAAGATGTGGAACAAATGGAACTTTCATTTATTGCTGGTGGGAACATAAAACGATATAGACATTTGGAAAATAATTTGGTAGGCTATTTTTTAAAAATAAAGTTAACTATCTTGCTACCATACATCTGGACATCCTATTCCTAAGTACTTACCTAAGAGAAATAAAAATTTATATTTACTAAAAAACCTGTGTAAATGTTTAGGGCAGTTTTATTCATAATTGCCAAAATTGTCTTTCAGTTGGTCAACAGGTAAGTAAAAGTCTGGTACATCCATATAATAGAATACCACTCAGCAATAAAAAACACATAAAATATACATATGTGGCAATATTGATGAATGTGAAATACATTATGTTAAGTGAATGAAGACAAATAAAAAAAAATACATTATGGAAAAGGCAAAACTACAGAGATAGATTAGTGATTGTTAAATGTTTGATGTGTATAGAGAGGATTAAGGAACTTCTGGGACAACAGAAATGTTGCATGTACTTATTATAATGCTAGTGGTCACATGATTATGTATCTGTCAAAACTCAGAACTGTACACTGAAAAAAGGTTAATTTTACTACAGGTAAATTAAATCACAATAAACCTGATTTATGAGTAAACAAACAAATCAAACAGGAATTTATACTTTGGGTTAGGGCATTATTTTGCCATAATAATCTAGTAAGTTATTTATGTCTATGTCTTGATTTTCTGTAACTATGGGTAATTATAATATTTTACTTCCTTTCTATAATGAAAAAAATCCCTTTATTCATGGTAGGCAAAGAGGACAAATATCAATTCAGATTAAATTTACTTGGTAGCAAAACCAACTTTCTGCAGAAATTTAAAGGGTATAGATCTTATTTGACTTAGAGTGACTATTCATATATTTGAACATGCTTTATCAACAGAATTTTAACACCTATTTGGTTCACTGCTGGGCAATGAAATATCTATAAAGCACAATTAGAAATCTTATATTACTTTACAGGAAATCTAAATATTCTAATTCTTCCTTTAGCTTTTAATAAACTGTCAGACAAATTGCAGGCTCTAGCAAATATTTATGTATGACTGCAAATGCAAAAAAATAAGAAAAATTGTACTACGTAAAACATGTATCCAACTAATTTCTTAATGTCGTGGAATGGAGGTTTTATAAAATTCTTGTCTTGATCTATTTCAATGTTTTCATTGTGTGCAGTTAGTGGTCCTTTACAAGAACCACAGGACTTGTGCTATCAATATTTGCTAATAAAAAAATTTTTTTTAGATGGGTGCCGGTGGCTTATGCCTGTAATCCTAGCTACTTAGGAACCATGATCAGGAAGATCATGGTTCAAAGCTGGTTCGTGAGACCCTATCTCAAAAAAACCCATAACAAAAATAGGGCTGGTAGAGTGGTTCAAGGTATAGGTCCTGAGTTCAAATCTCAGTGCCACAAAAAAACTTCTTTTTAAAGAATTATGAGGGCTGAAGGTGTGGCTCAAGTGGTAGAGCACCCGCTTAGCAACCACAAGACTCTTGACATCAAACCCCAGTGTTACCCTCCACCCCAAAATAAAAATAAATAAATAAATAAATAAATAAATCAGGGACCAAATGTGATGGTACATGCCTGTAATCCTAGCTCCTTATAGGAGGCAGAGGCAGAAGGATTGTGATTTCAAGACCAGCCTAGGCAAAGTTAGTGAGACTCTATCTCAAAAAACAAACTCCAAACAAAAGGGCTGGGGGCATGGCTCAAGTGGTAGAGCACTTGAGCTTGAGACTCTGGGTTTAATCCCTAGTACCTAAAAAAAAAAAAAAAAATAGGGATAAGACAGATAAATAGGCAAATGTGCTTTCACGCAGATACTGGAAGACAAAGTAGCCAGACCTCAGCATTATATATTGGGTAGAGAAAGAAAAGTGGTATGAATGTGCTGCCAATAATCTTCATAGCATAAACCCCACCAATGGTTACCTAACATGTCTCTAAATGATTTAGTCCTCTACTTCTCCTTTATTCTACTTTTCTATCACATTAAAGTCAACAAATGCTTTTCTTAATTATTCAGGAAGTTCCAGAAATCTAGAAGATTAGCTAAATCCAGTCACAATTCATCATATTCACATTCCTAAAGTCTCACTAAAAAGCAATATAAAGGAATGCTGACAAGAAACTGGAAAATTAAGGTGTTTTTCAGGTACTTAAAATAAAAGTAAAAAAAGAGGCTAGATATGCATACCAGACTTCAGTACAATAAAGTATTTACAAACATTTGAATGGAATCACCAGGTCTCAGTTTTAATCTAATAATAAGGAAACAGTAAAATTATATGGTTGATTCTTGCTTACCAAAGGGGAATTTTAAATATGTAATTAAAAAAAATGACTACTTAAAAACAGAACCTTGTGGATTATTTTCTTTTATTGACATGACCCTTCTCGTTACTTCCAAGTTCCCACATGACCCAAGAAAGTAACTTCATCCCTATTTTTTTTTTTTGGTCGGACTGGGGTTTGAACCTAGAGCTTCAAGTTTGTGAAGCAGGTACACTACTCCTTGAGCCACAACTCAAGCCCATTTTAAGCTCTGGCCCTCTTGGAGATGGAGTCTCTTGAACCATTTGCCTTGGCTGACCTCAAACTGTCCTACCAATCTCAGCCTCCCAAGTAACTATGATTAAGATATGAGCCACCACCAGTCAGATTCTGAATGCAAAAGTTGAAACTCATAAATAATTGAATAGGGCAGAGGTGTAGCTCAGAGGTAGAGTGGATGTTTACATGCACAGGTCCTAGATTTAATCCTCAATACCAAAAAAAAAAGGAAGGAAAGAAATAAAGAAAAGAAAAAAATGAAACAAAGAAGGAACACATTTTACTATCTTACTTTTATTCAAATGGTACTCAGATTTCAAATGACTGTGACAAAGCACTGACTAATGATTCAATGTCCAAATGTCTAAATTAAACAATATTCTTTGAAGCCAGGATACTAACCCCAAGTCTTTTCTAATTCTATTTCCTTAAAAATATATCTTCCTTCTACTTTTCCCTGGAGGGCACCATTTCCCTCTTACTTCATGTTTCTTAGCAAAAAGACTCAAAAGCTTCACCTGTGGGAGAAATGTGAAGCCCAAATCCATTATTCCACATCTGCATATAATCTTCTAAGGTCTCTTCTTTCCTATTACATAAATGATTAGTTCATATGTTATCACATCCTAATCCTTTTAATTTACTGCATTTCTTCTATTCAGAGAGTATTTTCACCTTTGATTTCTGTAGTCACTTCCAGTTTTCTTTCTTTCTTTCAGCTTTTTACTCCCTGTCTGTTCAAAACAGTGTTACATAAATGATATTTATTATCCAACTGACAATCACTCTTACCAAACTTAAGCAGAGCACACTGGTCAATGCTGTCAGAGGTGCTTCTGACCTCCAATGTATCTAATTTTTATGTCTTAAAATGATAAACGAAAAAAAAATGGACTAAGACATTTTCCTAATACAGTAATTGACAGGAAAATTACTTCAAAAAATGAGATCTATTTTGATATAAAGTAGCAATTATAGTATCTTATAATTTATAATCCAGAGCAAAAAGATTATCACTAGGAAGATAAAGTTATTTAGTTTTGCAAATGAAACATTTTATTAATACTTTTTAAATTAATGACTGTCTAAATATACTTACATTTTTGAATAGTTGCTCAGCAAGTTCTCTGATGTGCTTTATCATCTTCAATGGGTTATTTTCTTCAATTTTAATTCTCTCTACTTCAAAGGCTACCAACTTGGAATAAAAATCAAGTGGTAAAATATCAATACTGAATTTAAAAACTGATAATTTCATACAGTTTGCAAACCAAACAGCATCTAAAATATATATTAGTTTTCAAACAAAAGTCCTTTAGGTTTTGACTGGGTTTCACCTCTATTCTGGGATTACAGAAGTCTATCAAATCCTTGAATTGCCTGGTAGTCCCTCCTCAATGATTCTTGGGAATTGTCATTTCTGGAGCTCAGAGAAACCCTGTCATTTGGCCAAGTCTGACTCAGACAATTTTCTTACTCAGAGAAATTAAGAAAGTCTATAAATATTTCCTTAACTCACAAAACATGACCAAGTGTACATGTCAGGTTGCTCAGATTCCAGACCTAGCTCTGTGGACAGTGTGATCTGGGACAAGTCACTTAAACTCCTGGACTTCATTTTTCTCATATCTAAAATAACATGGAAAAGCATGATGACATTTAGGCTTCTCATTCTCAAATTATATATAGATTATAGTCCATCTCCCGATTAACTAATTTACTGAGAGAACTGTATGAGTGGGCATACTTAAGGGAGAGAAAAGAATGCTTAGTAGGAAAGGAATTGTTGGAGGATAAACAGATGGAAGATAAAAAAAAAAAGAAAAGGAACAATAGATATTCTTCCTTTTAGGGGCTAACGGATTCACTGGAGTAGACAGGCACATAAAACCATGGCTTTACCTATTCTAGGCAAGAATTCACAAAGGCAAACATTTTCTTCATTCGAAGATGTCTATATTCCTAAGACAATGCACAATGCTGCCTCTCAAAGCTCCGTAAAACAGCATGTGGTAGCCTGCCCTACCACAAAGGGAAACAAAGATTTCTTTCCTAGAAGCCAATGTTATTTTCCTACAAAAAGCACATTCCCATGTAAACGGTCATATAAGGTCAAACAAGAAACTATTTAGGTCTGATACACTGCTTCTCTTAGGCCCTTGAATTGACATATAGATATAATCAATTAGCTTTTGAGTATCAACATGGTACAAAAAATCATCACTATGTACAGAACAGAGAACTGGATAATCACTAACAAGAAATCTAATAAGAATCTTAGAGACTTTGTTTTACCATTGTTTCTGATATAGAAGATACATACATGCATATATACATATACATACATGTATATACACATATACATATATAAAATAAAAATAAGCTGACATAAAATGAAACTTAATGTGATCTAGGAGCTCTCAGAGTCAACTACCCTTAGAAACATTGAAGGATGTGGTAAGGTAACAGCTGAATATGAAGAACAGAAGACATTGCTGGTTGAAAGCTGCAGGGAAGGCACTCCAGATAAGGGAAGGACCTACAAAAATACAAGTGATGGCAAGCAAATTTTCTGCAAGTAATCTGACTTTAGTTGTGATGAATCTGCCAGAGGAACTAGTAAGGAAAATCTGGATAGAAAAAAAAGAGAGTATATAAACCAATGTTACTATTAAAGCCTCAGAGACTAATAAAACGTCAGAGGTAGAAAAAGACCTTGGAGAGCATCATAATTTAACCTCATAAGACATTTCACATCAATTACTTAATTAGGAATCTAAAGGCTGATACAAATATTAGTAAAATCAATGGCCAATCATATTAAATATTATCAACAGAGGATCAGTGCTTAACAAATAGTTGATTAGAAAGAACTATGCACCTCAGGATAATCTCTCTTAAGTCTTCAAACACTTTGTGTTATTAACTAAAGTATTCAGTCTGGGTGTTCATAATCAGAACTAAAATTTAATTCTTACCTTTGAGTGTTTAACTGTTGAGTACTATCCTTTCTGAATCAGTGGTATTTAATAACTTTATTCCTATTTTCTCTACATAAAATAAAACCACCAGTGGTAAAATATAACAACTAATATATTCCCCTTTATCTTGGGTGGCAGGAGTATTTTTCTTTTACAGACTTCAAGAAACTTTTAGATTTATTGGTTATAATACCATGCTCTTTCAGAAATTAAAGTGGAATATTCATTGTTCCATCCCCAAAATGCAGTTCTATCAATACAGACTTAAATGGTAAATGAAAAGATGCATTAACAAAAGAGAAAGTGCAATAAATGTAAAATAGTATCCTTATCTTGAGTCATATCTGTCCTATTTTTCCCTTTATATGGTCAATTCCTTGAAGGTAGAGACTAAATCTCTCTTCTATATATTTATATCTCCTAAGGATGCTAAACAAATGTTGACTATTGATTAGTAAGAATGCCATAAATTTAAAGTATTACACCATGACACTGATGGACTAAATGTAATTGAAATTTGAAGTCACATATTTATGCACCAAAATTTAGACTTTTCTCCCTAGCAGATTGATAAAAGAATCACCGTACAATTACCTTAAGAGTTGTATTTACACATCACTGTTAAATTTCCAAAAAGATTTTAATCAACTATTTAAAGCTCAGTTGTTCAAATTTTTATATACTTACGAGACATCCTATGATTATATTTTTCCAGCTTTCCTAATTCACATTGTGAATATTAAGATTTGATAAGCATACAAATAATGTTTGGATTATTAATGTTTATGAATTTGAGTGTTAAAATAATGTTTCTCTACTTTTAATTACTAGTCTAATTATGTCTATAAACAATGCATTCATTTTATAAGAACTATACCTCATCAAACAGATCACAGGGTCTATAGGGAGGACCTCTTTCTGAAACAAAACCTGCAAATGCCATTCCATTGAGTACTTTAGTGAGGAAATCATTCTCAACCAAACCACGCTGCCCCAAGAAGGCTGTCTGTAGAGAAAGAAAATGTGAAATGATAATTTATTGCTTGGTAATGAGCAAATAGTCAAAATAAAAATATAACAGAAATACCAAAGCCTATATAAATGCCCTTATGTATAAGTATGTATTGTTAAAAAAAAACACTTTGCTCAAAAAAAGTTTTTGTGTGGTACCCGAAATACTACATGAATTGGAAAGAATAAAATTGAATCTATCTAATAAGAGAAAAAATCAGAAATTAACACTCAATTAAAAAAATTTAAAGTTAACATACTCTGAAGAAAAACATGTTAATTCCGCAGTATTACTAAGAATTGTCATGTACCACACAAAGCAGACATTTTAAATAAGCACATTTAATAAACTAAAGTTATTATATACAGCTAGAAAAAATAAGCAGTTTTATTCAATTAGAATCTGCCTTTTAGACAGATATATATGGTACTGTGTCTTACTTTGTGAAAATGTATTACTGGTTCTGCATGAATTCTTATAAGTTGTAGGCATGATCTATATCCTTGAAAAAGTTGTGCAAATAATCTAAGGAAAACTGCTCGTACTTCTTTATCCTAAAAATATAAAAGGAAAAACATTAGGCAATTTGAGTTCTTGAAAAACAAATGAAATATCATCAAGTAAAAAAGATAGAAAGAAAGAAAAAGTGTAGTCTGCCTGTGCTTTCTATATATGTCTCATTTGTGGTATTCCTGAGTAGTGAGCTTCTGATCTATCCTTTCATTGGATAGCTTATGCTGTTAAATAGTTTCTTTATACTGAACCAAAGCAAACTTGCCTCCACTACATCCTATTATCTATCCTCTAAGGAGGAAAATGGTAACATAGTCTCCTTTTTTTACCATGTAAGAGAAGGGCAATCCTTCTCTTTGATTTATATCAAAGGATATAAATCCTTTGATTTACGTATTTGCCAAAAGAATTACAGCTAGAAACATAAAAGGAAAAAAACCTCAAAATATTACATTTTAAAAGCTTATAAAATTCTTCCAAAGTTTATCCAACTTATAAAAATTTATTTTAATAAAGTATGATTTAAAATATGCTTTGATAATCTAGTCTTAATAGAATTATACTTTTAAAAGTGTTAAGGAAAGTTGGATTTATTTAATCAATCTCTTACTTAATTGTTAAGATAATGAAGGTCAAGAATACTTAAGGTGACTTTTAAAGGTGTTTAGCTCTATAAGGTTCCTATTGGCCCAAACTTTATCTTGAAGAAAAGGCAAAATAAAAAAAGGGGCTTCTGTTATACAGTCATTCTTTTATGACTTCTGATTAAAACTGTTTTTGTATACTCACTCCTCAAACTTGATTCTCTCCTATAATCAATGTTCATTGTTTCCATTGTAAAAGTTTCCCCCACTTTCTTAAAATCCTTGCCTGAGGGCTGGGGATATAGCTCAGTGGTAGAGCACTGGCCAAGCATGAGCAATAGCTTGGTTTTGATTCCCTAGCATTACAAAAAAACAAAAACAAGAACAAAAACAAAAACAAAAAAGCAAAATAAAACCAAAAAACCAAACCCTTTCTCACCATTTCTATCTGATGCTGGGCAGTTTTTAGGCTGTAATCCAGGTTCTGATTTCTGTCTTTCTCTCCTATACTTACTTTTGTCTCCTCAGGTAACACCATAGTCCTGCTCTCCTGGCCAGTGCACTGCCTTGCAACACTTTCTTGATTAGGACACAAGGACAGTTAGTCAGTAAGTGGCAACTTAACTTCTAATTTGGGACAGGTTTTACTATGTTGCCTATCTAATTCCACTTAGCTTCTTCAGCAACCCTTCAAATAAAAGTATAACTCTCTTTAAAATCATTAAATTTAAGTGAAACTTCTTACCAGCATTTTTGAGTGGGATAAAGCTGTTCGAGGAGGAGGAAAAGCATGATCTGCTACTTCCAAATCTGGGTGTAAAATCTAAAGCAAAGAAGTTTTGTTAGGTAAGATATCTTTTTTTTTTTAATTTTATTATTCATATGTGCATACAAAGCTTGGGTCATTTCTCCCCCTTGCCCCCACCCCCTCCCTTACCACCCACTCTGCCCCTCTCTCTCCCCCCCACCCCCTCAATACCCAGCAGAAACTATTTTGCCCTTACTTCTAATTTTGTTTTTGTTAGGTAAGATATCTTATTATCAATAAAATTCACTCTTTAATCTTTGAGCATTAAAATGAACTGTCCATAGAAGAATTATATTACTTCTATGAAATACAATTCAGTTAGCTGAGGTAACTGTCTCTACTACTGTGGAAAGATTTTCAAGACAAAGTATTTAGTGAAAAAAATGTTCTAGAGCTATGCACATACTATGATCTCACTTATTTGAAAATAAAGCAAAGTAAATCTTAAAGAAATACACATACTTACATTTATATACATATCTAAGATAATGAAAAGTTCTCAAAGAACATATACTAACCTGTAAAATAATGTAAACACTGGCAAGGGAATGGTCTGAGGCAGAGCTGTATGTCTATGTAACTGATTTTTTAAAAGTTATTTTAGTTTTGTAATATAATTAAGAATTAATTTCTTCATTAAAATACTGAAGGAAAACGGAATAAGCTTTTGAACTTTGCAGTCCAAAAGGAGAAAAGTATAAAACAATGGGGGGAGTGCTATAAGTATATAAAAAATAACATGAATACATAAAGAAAATAGAGACAGCTGGTGGAGTGGCTCAAGTGTTAGAGTGCCTGTCTAGCAAATGTGAGGCCCTTGAGTTCAAACCCAGTGCTGCAAATATAATAATAATAATAATAATAATAATAATAAAATTACATAGAGAAAGCAAAAAAGAAAAGGTAGGTTAACATTTGAGTTAGGCTTTGAAGGAGATCAAGCTGGGAAGTGGGTGGGAAAGAAAGGTCCATGCAGAACTTGCATTGAGAAAAAGATGAAACTGCATGAGTATATACGAAATTTTTGTCTTTGAAAAATCGTTCTCAAATACTTAGGTTGGCCTGTAATCCCAGCTACTAGGGAGGCTGAGACAAGAGGATTACAAGTTTGATGCTAGCATCAAACATCTTTACTTTCTCAAGGTAAAATAAAAAAGATCTGGGGATATAGCTTAGTGGTAGGAAACTTGACAAATATGTGCAAGGTCTTGAGTTCAATCCCCAGCACCACAATAAACAAGGAAGGAAAAGTTAAAACACAAGTAAATAAAAAAAATAAGGTTTTTGAAGATATACTTAGAATAGACTAAAAAACTCAAAACAATCCTTAAAACCAATATTAAGCCAGGCAAAGCGGTGAACACCTATAATCCCAGCACTCAGGAGGCTGAGGTAGAAGGATTATAAGTTCAAGGCCAGCTTGGCTATATGGCAAGACCCTGTCTATCTAACTAACTCACTAATTAACTTCAACACAGAAATGCTGACAATAATTACAACCAAGTCACTCAATCACTTTCATAGTACAGTACTATTTAGTGTCTATAAAATCATCCATGGTTATTACATAGTTTAAGTAGTGCAGTGACATTTGATTACAATTTTTTTTGGTAATACTGGGGGGTTCAATCAGGGTTTTGTACTTGCTAGGTAGGTGCTTTATCATTTGAGCCATGCCTCTATCCCAGATTACAATTATTTAATAAGCAAACAAAGTTCACATACTTGTGTGCCATAGCTCTAATATGGTCCATCAAATCTGACCTCTTTTGATCTCAGCTTAATAATATACAATGCTTTTATCTCTTATTCACAGTATATTCTACACAACTTAGCATGAAATCTACCATTGTGCTTGATAACTACCATAGCATGTATACTCAGTTTTATCATAAATGAACTGTAGAAATTAATTAAATTTGGTAGCACAGGGATTACAGGTTAAAGTATGCAAGTGTGCAGCAGAATCCCTACCTAGGGTCATTATCTCCAGAACTAAAATCTTTATAAATGTTAATTTTGGTATTTAGCCCATGAATAATTATTAAGATTACTCTTAAGTAATTAGATAGATTTAATTGCATTAAATTTAATCACTCAAATGCAACCTTTTATCACAAAGTTAATATTTTTCTGTAAACTGACTCACCATTTAAAATGTAGTATTTTCTCAGATATTATCTGTGTAATCCCAGGTTTTATATGCAGTTTAAAATATACACTGCTGGGCACAGTGGCTCAAGTCTATAATCCTAGCTACTTGACAGGCAGAGATCAGGAGGACTGCAGTGTGAGGCCAGTCCAGAAAAGAAGATCTGAGACCTCATTTCAACCAATGGCTAGACATGGTGGACATACCTGTCATCCCAGCTATGTGGGAAAACACAAATAGGAACACTGCAATCCAGATAGGCATGGGTATTAAATGAGACCCTATTTCAAAAATAAACTGAAAAAGACTAGGGGCATAGCTCAAGTGGTAGGGTGCCGGCCTGCCTGGCAAGCAAGAAACCCTGAGTTCAACTACCAGCATAGGCAAAATAAAAAAATTTATAGCAAACCCACAAATTATTAAACTAAAAACAGATCCCATCCAAAATCTTCTCTGTGCTGGACTTTGTTAAACAGTTGCCTACTAATCTCTGTTTAAAACAAAACTTAAAGATGGTGGATTAAAGACACCCATCACCAGCAGCTCCGGAGAAGTGACAAAGTACAGTGGCATACCAGCCAGCTTTTCAGCTAGTTTTTTTCTTCCTGAGTGGAACAGGGACTAGACCACAGAGGGTGGATGTTTGACTACTTAGTCACACTCCCAGTCCAGTGGCAAGAAACAACACTACAACCAAGTCCTGCCTAAACATTGTGAATACTCCAGTGGAAAGGACACAGAGGATTAAAGCCTCCAACCAAAGATTTGGCCGTAGAGGCATAAATCCCAGCATAGAAACACAAGTAATATGGAAAAGCAAGGCAACATGACATCTACAAAAGTCAACAGTTTAATAACAGAAGACTTGAATTATAGTGAAGTGAATGAAATCTGAAACACTAACTCAGTGATCAAAATGATCAACAAAATTAAAGAGGACATGTCTAAACACCTGAACAAATTCAAAGAAAATTTAAGCAAACAGTTGAATGAAATAAGGAAGATAATGCAGAATACAAAAGAGGAATTCAATAAAGATGTAGAAATTCTAAAAAAAAAAAAATTGAAATTCCAGAAATGAAAAGTTCAGTAAGTCAAACAACAACAACAAACTCAGTTGAAAATGTTTCCAGTAGACTGGACCAAATTGAAGACAAACTATCAGGGCTTGAAGATGAGGCAGATGTATCAGAATATTCAGAGAAAGATAAAAGAAAAAAATAAAGAAGTACAAATGGAAAATGTAAGACCTCTGGTGTGCCATTAAAAGAACAAACCTGCAAACCACGGGCATAGAAGGAAAAGAGGTGCAAGCTAAAGGGCATAGAAAAAGTTTTAAATAAAATAACAGGAGAAAATTTCCAAAGTCTTGAGAAAAACATAGTCATGAAGACTTTTAGGACACCCAATAGACAAGATGAGAAAAGAATCACTCCAAGGCATATTATAGCTAAAATATTAAATATGCAGAATAAGTAAAGAATACTGAAAGCTGCAAGAAAGAAGTGTCAAGTCACATATAAAGACAAACCCATCAGAAAACAGATTTCTCAAGAGAAACATTAAAAGCAAGGAGGGCATGGAATGATGTATTTCAAGCCCAAAACAAAATAACTTCCAGTTTAGATTACTATCCAACAAGGATATACTTCATAATTGAAGGAAAAATAAAAACTTCTTATGATAAACAAAAACTAAGAGAATTCATGACCACCAATCTAGCACTGCAGAAGACACTTAAAGTATCCTATACACAGAAAAGGAAGATAAACACAACCAAGAAAATATAGGAAAGAATAATTCTCACATGAGGATTGGGAAAGAATCAAACAGCACAAAAAAACAACAAAATGACAAGAATTGCTGCATACCTTTCAGTAACTGAATATTAACAGCTTCATTTCTCCAAACAAAAGACACAGACTGGACCAGAGGTGTAGCGCAAGTGGTAGTGCGCCTGTTTTGCAAGCACAAAACCATGAGTCAAATCCTAGTACTTCCCCCCACCCTACAAAAAGACACAGATTGGTGGGTATGATTAAAAAATAAGACCCAAGCATTTGGTGCCTACAAGAATCACACCTAATTGGAAAAGACAAACACAAGCTCAACGTGAAAGAATGGAAAATAACCATTCAACAAATGGTGTTGGGAAAATTGGGTATTCACATGTAGAAGACTGATACTAGATCCTTCTCACCCTATACAAATATCAATTTAAAATGGATCAAAGATCTTAATATATGACTTAAAACTTTGAAAATACTATAGCAAAACAGGGAAAAATGTGAAGATACAGGCATGGGTAATGACTTTCTGAATAGGATTCCAATTGCTAAGGAAGTAAGAGCAAGAATTGAAAAATAAATTGCATCAAATTATAAAACTTCTGCACATCAAAGGAAACAATTACCAGAATGAAGACACAATTCACAGAATGGGAGAAAATCAAATACCAAAAGAAGAATCCATTTAGTAAATGGGCAAATGAATTAAACAGAGAGTTCTTAAAAGTCTAAATAGCCAATAAATACATGAGGAAATCTTTCAACATTCTTAGCCATAAAAGTAATGCAAACAGAAATGACTCTGAGATTCCAACTGACCCCAGTCAGGAATGGCAATCATCAAGAAAACAAACAATAACAAATGCTGGTAAGGATGCAGAGGGAAAAAGGGAACCCCTCATACACTTTTTGTGGGAACGTAAGTTAGTGCAGCCACAATGGATATCAGTATGGAGACTCCTCAAAGAACTTAAAATAGAACTACCATATACCCTTTCTATACCAATTTTGGGCATATATCTAAAAGACTATAAGTCAACATATAATAGAGATACCTGCACACCCATGTCTATTGCACACTTTTCATTT